GGCGTTTAATAACCTCAAATCAAGTGTTCACGATGCCTGTCAACAAAAAGCATATTCGATACGTGATGCGCATTTCATTGAAACAAAAATTTCTGAAGCAGCCAAAATAATTTGCGCTTATGATGAAAGTGCTGTAACTGATCGTACGTGCCGAAACTCGTTTGAACGTCTCCGAAATGGTGATTTTGATTTTCACGACCAACCTTCACGCCTTGGTCAATTAATAAAATTTAAAGACAAGGAGTTGCAAAATCTACTGAATGAAAAAACGACGCTAATACAACAACAAGAACTTGCGGAAAAGCTGAAAATAAGCCAGAAAACGTTTCGCGATTGTTCGTATGGGAAAGATACACAAAGAAAGGAAATGCGTTCTACACGAGCTAACTATCGACAACAAAAATCACCGACTGATCACATGCGTTATCTTGCCCGCCAGACAACAAAAAAAGATTCCTTTGCACAAAATCGCAACCGGTGACGAAAAATGGATTATGTATGAAAATCTTAAACGCTAAAAATCATGGGACTCTGGTCAACCGACAACGTCGACAGCAAAACCCAAACGTTTCAGAAAAAAAGTTCTTCTCTATACATAGTGGGATGCTGGAAGGGTATGCTGTACCATGAGCTCTTGGAACCGGGTAAAATCATTAAAACAGAGAATTTCCAACAGCAATTGACACGTTTGAGCGATGCAAGCTTAAGAAAAAAAGGCCATTTAATGTCTAACAATGCTAAACCGCATACAGCATAAAAAAAAACACAAAGGAAATCATCTCACATCTGGGAAATTCTCCCACACGCGACGTACATATTTCTCCAGACTTGACTTCATCAGATTTTCACTCGTTTCGGTCGATGTGGTACGCACTGTCTGACACTCATTTCTCGACAGTTGATGACGTACGGGATTCCATCGACGACTTTATAGCCTCAAGTTTTTATCGTGATAGGATTCGGCAACTGCCCAATAAATGATATAATCTCATCGATAACAACGGAGAATATTTCATTGATTAATCTTGTTCTATTGGATTTCAAATAAAGATGGAAAATTGTCAAAAATCGGAAAGAATTAACTACTACACCTTGCATAATCCTATATTATCAAGTTCTCCTAAGAATTACTAAATCAACCGTTCTTTCTCCGCCAGGTTCTTCCCCGAGAAGGTGAGAACGCGTAACGCGAGACCGTGGCGTAATCAATCGAGGGAAACAACCCCCGTGCGAGAGCAAGTACGTATACCCGCGATAAATTCACCGGGGCTCTCCTCCGTCGGTCTCAGAAACACGGACGAGGGCTGGCTGGCCACGGCAGAGTCCGCGGGGCGAGAAAACTCCGAAAGGATTCTCCGTCCAACCCCCTCTCCGCCTTCACTCCGCCCCTGTCTTTGCTCGCGAAAGAACTTCTAATTCGCTTACGCATTCGCAATAGACTCAGCTTTGCGTCCGTTTTGCACACTTTCCCGACTTATCCGAACAGACAGAAATCTCAGAAAGGGTCGTCCTTGTGCAAAGGGCGACCCTTTGGGGGGGAGAGGGAAGCGTGCGGCAGACCGTAGTAGAGGACAGAGAGCGCTCATTAATTGGCTTCTGCGATCTCCAACTTCGGACTATTCGGCCGCGTTACGATACGCAATCCCCGATGCGCAGCCTCCACCCTCTCGAGAGAGCCTGCCTCCGCATTCGCATTCGCACTTCATTCTCACGTATCTGCCGCCTCGAATGGACTTGTTAAACCGTTGGGCTCATTTGAGCCCGCCGCCGAGCCAAACTCGAACGGTCGAGGCGGGACTGAAATTACAATATAGCGGAATCGAACTCGCGCCAATTAACGAGGCTCGCGTGCGCTGGGGCACGGGAGAAAGAGAGAGAGAGAGAGAGAGAGAGAGAGAGAGAGAAGAGCGATGAAATAACAATCTCGGTGACGGGAGGGGAACGAGCGTCGCGTATTATTGCCGATGCAGTTGCCCGAGAAGTGGTATAATCGCGAACGCGACACCGCCGCCGGGATATATCTCGCTTCTTGCGACGTATAAAATATATCCGCGAGATCGGCCGGTAAATAATGAGCGCGATTTATCTGCGGTGCATTTGTCACGTCGCGAAATCCAGTCACGGATATTGGAAAAACATTCGGCACGGCGGCGGCGGGACGCCGCACCAATAAGATCGATAAAACTTGAAGATGCGGTAACGACGTGAGAAATCTCGGAAAAAAGCGTCGGGGCGACGGCGACGGAGACGCGAGCGACGACATTTTCGTTCGCTCGCGTGGAAAGAGCTTCCGGCAAGTTTTTGGTATTTTCTCATCTTCTGTGAAAGACACTTCTCCGTCCTCCTCTTCCCCTCGGCCAAGGAGCAGGAGAAGGACACGCTTGCGCGCGCGCGCGAGCGAGACATCGTCCCGGTAGTACTAATGCACGGTAATCGCACGGCAGCTGACGAGAAGTCGCCGCAAGCCTGACCCCAACGCCGTCGTCATGAATGATTCAGTGAGCGGACGTAGTACGGAGGGTCATTATCGTTATAAAGGGGAATGAATTTTACACGAAAAACCGTAGACGCTACGCGCAATAACGCGCGACATTCATCGCGCCGAATAGACGTCGTGTCGCATGACAACGAGAGAGCGAGGGAGAATGAGGAGCGGTAAGGAGAGTAAGCGGAGGGAGAAAAAGGCGAGCTAATAAATAATCAAAGCGAGTCGTTTAGATATCATCAAGCTGCGAGTACGTCACATGCAACGCGGTGGGCACGAAGGGACGAATTTCATTTCCGTATTCTGCGTCAATAAACTTAATTAAATGGCGCACCGCGAGGCGCGCGAAAGGTGCTTTCGAGAGGCAACGGTTAGCACGTTTTCTTTTCTTTCCTTTTTTTAATAAAAATAAACGTCAAAGACCCTGATGGTGGATAACCGAGTGAGGATAATGGGGCTGATGCAATAAAGAATTAAGAATGAACTGTTAAGAATCATGTAGAAACGACAGGTTAGTAAAAGCCGTAGCTGCACGTCGGGCGTGATAATTTTAATCTTTACGGAACGATGAATAGGTAAACTTCTGAAAACCTTCCCCGACTTATCAACACGAATTTTGACGAAAATACTCCAAATGATTTGAAATTAATGTCCTTGGAGGGATCTCCGTCGACGAAAGAAGTTTAACGTCAAACAGGTTTACGTAAACGTCATACATCGCTGATAACATTGCTGATAACATTTTCTCAGACAGATCTACGTACTGTGATACACAAATTTGTCATCATTAAAATATGCGAAAAGATGTCACTGCGGTTTTTAAATTTGGGTTCTCAATTGAAAAATAGAGCAACTACAATGCAGCGGGCTAGGTTTGGATAAATATTCATTTGCTATCGTATGAATACATAGATGACAGTGCATAAATTTATCTGCGAAAGTAATATAATCACGATATATGATATTATTTGAACGCTATTGGCGTTCAATTTATAGCAACTAAGCGTGGATAAATGTATATGTGTGCGCGCGCGCGCGCGCGCGTGTGTGTGTGTATGGTTTTCGAAAGTTCATCCCGATAAATTGTTTTACCGTATAACGTACGTGCCATTTTCCGGGCATTTAATTTACGTGGGACACATTGCAAAATAGTCACCTTCCATGTCGAATCGACACTTTATATTCCGCAGACTAATATTCTAATATTAATTATCCCTCCAATTCTTTTATTTTCCGATGTCTCTCACAGCAGCCAAAATTTTTTATCTTATTTCTTTTCTAACAAATTCACGGGCAATAAAAAAGAAAAATGCTGGAATACAATGATCATCCCTCACGTCAAATCGACGTTTCATCCAACGATTAAAATTAATTCTAACATTAATTATTCTCCTCTAAATTACCCTTATTTTTCGCCATATCTATCAACGTTCTCTTCATGTTGTCTTATATTTTTCCAACAAATTCACGGAAAGTGAAAAAAGAAAACAGATTTGAGATAGGCGCGCCTCGCCCTACAGGGGTGCATTACGAGTCCGATCTCCGCCTCGGTTGGCGAAGGATAATAATTTTCCCTCACATAATTAACGATTCACGCCCGACGGGAAGCAACACCCCTTTCTCGTATTCGGTCGAGGTAAGACGAGGCCGAGTCGGACGGAAAACAACGCGGCACGGATCGACCCGGGAGCCGCCGTCGATCTCCACTTGGGGTGCTTTAAAGGCACCCTCCGTTCTCCCTTTATGAAATTCGCGCTATAAGTCTCGTTTTCGCTCTTTCCCTCTCCCTCTCTCTCTCGCTCGCTCGCCCGCTCACTCGCAGGTGAGTTGATTGGATTGGTCATATAGCGACCGCCGTAGCGGCGTAACCTCGTTTTTGAACATGAAAGGCGACCGAGATTTGCAGCGGTCGTTGGTGGTGGTGGGGGATGTGAGGGTACGCGCGTCACGGATATATATTATATATATATATATACATACACATCATATATACATATTATATACACACACACACACACACACACACACACACACACTATGTGGACGACAGCGCGCAGCTTAGATTTCGATTTGGACGAAGCTTTACGCGAGCGTCGAATGGCACCAATTTTCACGGGCCTCGTGAAACCCCCGATGTACAGGACGGATGAAACTTTATGAAATTCATGAGGGACGGTCGCTGCACTTACCGGCCGAAGTGGCTCGACCACGAATATTTCTTCCAGAAATCGTCGCCGCAGGGGGAGAGCGCGCGCAAGGAGAGGTTTCCATAGATTTTTATATAAACCTCGGATCTTTGATTCAGCTCATAAAATTTTCAACGCGCGAATAAGCTACGGTATCGGAAATTGAATGTGTATCTATATGTGAGTTCGCGGGCGCACGCGCGCATGTGTCTATCTCTGAGTGTTTTCGATTTCGTACATGCTCGTCCGCTCGCCGATCATGACAAAGTAAATCGTCGAGAGCACTTCGCGTCTAAGCGTTCGACCGCATGAGCAAGTCAATCACTCACCGAATGTCGTGACTCCTGTCCGCGAAGCCGACAGCCTCTTACTGCATCCTCGATGTCGCTCTGCAAGCCGCTCCTGCGAACACACAACAATATAAATTTCTCAAGATTTGCCCTGATACAGCATTGATCTCGAACGGAACGCCCAAATTTGTGCTGAAATGGGTTGTTCCATCATGAGACCAATTGGGATCACACAAATACAAAAAGGGAAATGAAAAATGAAGAACGCTTTCGAAACGCTTCGGAAGTATGTGTATTTATACGTTTTTTTATACATTCATATATGGAAAGTGCCCGTACTCTCTCAGAATGTTTCATATTTTGTTCAATCGTAACGTAAAGTAGAAAAAACCAAAGAACTGTTTGAAGAAACTAGAAGGCCAATTGGGATCCGTTCAGATTTGCCTTTTGGTCCCGCGCGCTCGAGAGCTCACGCTTCTAAGAAGCAGAAGTTGCACAGGTATTTTCCAGAATCAGGCTCCATAATTCGCTCGGCAAATCGCGAGCTGGATCTCAATTAGACCGCAAGAAATGTCCCGAGAGCGATACGCCGCAGGTAAGCGCGGGAGGTCCCCGCGTCGTCCCAACTCGCGAAAATACGCGTGGCATCTCGGCGATAATCCTGGAACAATTTCGCCGGATAAACGGTCCCCGTTGTCCGTTAACACGAATACTTTCCCCCTCGCCCGTTCCGACGATTGACGACTTCGGCCAAGAAAGGAGACTAAAGTCCGAGCGTCCTCGCGGCCTCCGGTAACTTTGGCGTGACGAAGTGCTCGCGAACAACCGGCAGGATGACCGACGGCGAGAAGTTTCATCCGTAGCAGCCGCGCTCCGTAGGAGTCACCGGCGGAAGTGAGTTCGAGAGCGACACAGAATGAGACCCCGTCGAAGGCGAACGCGACGAGCCTCATCGCGGGCGGCAGAAGGGAACGGAGATGTGCGCATTGATTCCAGACGAATCGAAAGACGGCCACCGGTGGCGGTGACGGCCGCGAGACAGCGGCGACGGAGGCGGAGGGGGAGGGGGAGGGGGAGGGCGAGGAGAAGCCGGTGGTGCGTATTCCATATGTATTTCAGCATTTCAAGGTGGTTGGGCACAGTCGATACCCTTCTTTATCATTTTTACGGCCGCGACGGGGAAACGTCCGCATATTTATTCGCCGCCGGCGGCAATAAAACACAGGCCCGCCGCGCGCGCATATCCGGCCGTCGTGTCGGCGCTTCGTCCCGCGGCGCATAATATCTCGCTCAGGAATTTCGCTGCACAGCAAGAAGTTGCGCCGGAGGGCGGGCCGCCTGTGTGTGCAGGACGCGTGTGCAAAAAGGGCGCGTCTGATTCGCGTGTGGAAAAAAAATGAGGATAAACGGGCCGGATCGCGGAGTGGCGCAGCGTGGCGCGCAGAGCGTCTCGCCTCTCGCGCCTCGCAAACTTGATGAAACGTTGGAAGACTATTCCCGGCAGATTCATCGGCCAACTTTAGCCGGCTTCTTCGCGCTCGCCCGGCGCTTCTCCGGCGCCCATCGAAGTTGTCTAACTTCGTAGTGGATGTGTTTGATAATGGCATACTTCGGCCCGGCGAAGTTGCTGACTCGCCGCGCCAGGAAGCGACTCGACGCGACTCGACTCGACTCGACCCAACGGCGCACATACTTCGCTACGGCCCGGGAAAAATGGTGGGTGCGTTCCGAGCGAAGCTGTTCGCCTCGCCTTTCGCGAGAAAGCCGGGCCCACCCCGTCAGACAAGCGTATGTAGGAGGAGCATTCGCGCTCCAACAGCGGAGCTGCCGCGAAATATATTGGCAACGGTGAAACGCGGTCCCGGGGAAAACGCCGGGTCGTTCTTTGCACGTCGCCCGCGAGAGCGAACTTCGGACCCGGCGATCCGCCGTCGATCCCGTCCGTTCCTCGTGGTTTTCCTCCGCGCGATCGACACGTCGGCGGAGTCGTCCGCGGACTAACTCGACGCATCGCCAACCGAACACGTGTATCGACGTGTGTTTTTGGTGCTTAAACTCTGAAAACCGAAAATATCGGCTCGTGTTGGTTTTGGGAAGGAAGGAGGTGAAACGTGATGCACATGGGCCGCTTCTGGTCGATAATTTCAAGGGATGATATCTCAATGAACGTCCCGTTGGAAACGTTACTAGTGCATTCAACCTTTCCGGGAGCAAATGTAGGAAAATCAGACAATGATTCAGAAAAGTTAATGTAAAGCTCTACATATGATCACGATAATAAATAAAATAATACGATAATTTAATGTAATGAATTACTGTTTATGACATTAAAATTTTTTAATTTTAAAGTGATATCTGTCAAACACATATCGCGATATTTCTTTCCTTCCTGCGCAATTCTGTAGCAAGTACATTTATTTACTACTTATTATGTCTTTGTTTAATGTTGAAATTAAAGAAAAAAAAAAAAACAGAATATATTTAAATGTGGCACACTTGCGTCAGTTTCCCTGAAAAAATTGATTGCATGTTTCGCTCTTTTTCACACAGACATGCAATTCCGAATGAAACATTTAATAATTTAAGATTCAACGTCCGAATCTATAATATCTCCCCTTCTAAAACTTTCGAAATAATGCCAATAATACCGACGCGAGTTCTCGGTCAGGAAGAATCGATATCAAGGGACGACACTCTTCCGACAGCGAGACGACGGTCGATCGCGCGATACCGTACACCACTTGTCTACATTGTTTCGCCAGACCTTGACATTACTCGAGCAAGCGCGTGCTTGATCGGGGATTGATAGGCTCTTTTATTCGAGCGACGCGCCACGCGCGTCACGATATATCGACATGGACGGCGCGCCGCTTCGTTACTTATTTAAGCCTGCGACAATTTGACGGCTGCGGGGGAAGGCAGGGGAGAGGAAGGTTGCACGACGGAGGCGCGACTTTATCTTTAGGATGATTTTGTCTCAAGGATACAGGGCGGCAGGTGCGTATTCCGGGAAAGGCGTTCGATGTCATAGCGGGTCGATAAATGTCAGAGGCCGCTTCCGTAATAAAGGATTCGCTGGAATCAAAGGGCTACGCCAGCGAAGTGCAGTAGAAATGAATAGAGGAGGAGGAGGAGGAAGAAGAAGAGAAAGACAGACAGACAGACAGACAGAGAGAGAGAGAGAGAGAGAGAGAGAGATTTATTCATAAATCAATCTTTCGTAGTCCGCGACGGAAGGAACATTCTCTGCCAGCTTATCAGGAATAATCCGATAGTAAGAATATAAATTTTGATATCCGCGTATCACACACACGTGAGATCCTTTCTCCCTCTCTCCCTCGCATTACCACGACCCATCTGCCTATCCATCTATCTCTATCCATCCATGCATCTATGCATACAACTCGCGTTTCACGGCGGTTCGTTCCTCGCGTTAACCAAAGTCTCGCCAACGCCGTCGTCGTACGCCTTCATTCTTCCTCCGCGGCCTCTGGGGACCCGCGAGTAATCGCGTGCGCGCAGTAGGCGGATACACGCTGAGATCCGGAGACGTAGAGACAGACAGACAGGCGAGAGAGAGAGAGAGAGAGAGAGAGAGAGAGGCACCGCGGGGTAAGCGAGAGCGAGCTATCGCGTAGCCGCGCGCGCGCGCGCTCTCTACAGTAATCCCAGCCGTGTTTTCTGGGTCGGTTGCATCCGGGATTGCGGTACCCAGGGCGCATTGTTTCCACGAAATACGGTCGCGGAAGGAACGAAAATTATGCCCTCCCCGCCCCACCGAAATGCTTTATTTCCTCCGGCTCGACCGGTGTATCCTTTCGCGGCATTTCTACCGCGCTCTTCCCTTCCTGCCACCTTCCTCTCCCGCTGCAATGCCCTCAACCGCCCTCTTTCTTCTTTTTCCTCCTGTCCCTTCCACCACTCTTCGCTTCCTCTTTCTCGCCTGAGCAATTATTTTTTCCAACGCGGTCGAACGCAGCGGCAAGTCAGGAAGGTGCCTCGCCGTCGCGTTGTCTCGTAAAGACCGACGACGACGACGACGACGGCTCCGACGCCCGTCGCCGGTGTCCTGCCTGCGCGAGGAGAGCCGTAAAAGAAGAGCGGCTGCGACGTAAAGAGCACCGGGAGAGATGAGACCCATCGCGAGGAGTGAAGCCGGCGCACGGTCGATCTCCGGGAGGAAACACGAGACGCGCGGGGGTGGCGCACGAACGTATGTGTGGGTGTGAAGAAAGCGGGAGTGTGACTCTCATCGCGAGAAAGACGGGAGATTACGAGTTACAGCAACAACGTCGGTGATGGAGACTGTAACAGCGCCAGCAATAACAACAGCGGAAAGAGTGGAAGTTTAAATAACGTGGAACAAGCGAGGCGCTACAGAAGAAGAAGAAGAAGAAGAAGAAGAAGAAGAAGAAGAAGAAGAAGAAGAGAAGAAGACGGCAAACAAGAACAAGAAGAGGAAGAGGAAGAGGAAGAGGAAGAAGAAGAAGAAGAAGAGGAAGCTAGAAGTCGCGTGCCACGACTCCGAGAAGACACTCTCCCCTACCTCATTCCGATCTCGAGGCACGCGTGTCCCTCTTGCCCTCTCGCTAAGTGGATATATCCTTCCACGCTTCTTCTTCTTCCTCACGTCTATACACCCACCCCGAGCCACCTCGAGCCACCCCGAGCCACCCCTAGCCCCCTGCCCCACTGCACGTTGCCGTGAAGAACTCTCCTTTTCCTTCCGCTCATCACCCGCCGCTCGATTTATTTTCTCCACATCGCGGCCGAATCTCACCCTCGACCGACCGACCGACCGACTCTGCTCCGCTTCGCTCGGTTCGGTTCGGTTCGTAACCCGGTCGCCTTTGGCGAAGAATTCGCAAAGGACGGCCACGAGAGAATTAATTCTCACTGCCGGAGGGGATGAAAAAAAAAAAGAAAAGAAGAATACCATGGAGCGAAATAGCGTCGAGTCGGGATGAATGGCGACCGATAATTTTTCGAATCGACGCGGAGGTGATTTCTTTGCAAGTATAATTCCGCACTAAACGCCATGTTATGACGTTAACGCGCGATAATTAAAATCGCGTGATTCGCCGGGGCGCTGCGAACGAGCCACGGCGAGCC